ATCTATTCTTTACTATAGTTTCCAAATTGCTTGGTATTGAAGTTAGGCCTAGCGGCCTGTAAATAGTTTTTAAGCTAATTATAGTGTAAATTTTGATAAGGGGTGCGAGAACGTATTTTGAGAACCCAAGACCGTCAGCGGGCTGAGCGGGGCCAGGTGTAGTGTATTAAATTGCTCCCCATAGGAATGTGCTACTTACGGTGTACTACTTATGGCTGCCAGTCCTGATGCTCTGAGTGGCATGGTAAGGGAACAGGGGTGGTTGGATAGGCGTGGGAGTCCTGGGGGGCCTGTCAGGGGTGTGGATAGGGGTCGGGGCAGTCAGGACAGGGAGCAGGGGGACTTGGATTGGGGGGTGGGGTCCCGGGGAGGCGGATTGGGATGGGGGGATCCCAGGAGGGGCCAGTCAGGAGACAAGGAGCAGGGTAGGGGATTGATGGGGGGGGGTTCTGAGGACAGCAGTTAGGGGGCAGGGGGTCCCGGAGGGGGCGGTCAGGAGACAAGGAGCGGGGGGGTTGGATGGGTGAGGGTTATGAGGGGGGCAGTCAGGGGGTGGGAAGTGGGAAGGGGTGGATAGGGGGCACAGCCTTCCCTACCCGGGTGTAGTGTTCCATCTGCCGGCTTCTGCCAGCCAGGGTCCTGGCTGCCAGCCCCGCTCAGCCTGCTGCCGGCCTGGGGTTCCGTTCACCCAGGCCGGCAGCAGGATGAGTGGGGGCAGCGGCTGGGACCCCGGCTGGCAGCAGCGTGCCAGTAAAAATTGGCTCGCGTGCCGCCTTTGGCACGCGTGCCACAGATTGCCAACCCCTGCCCTAATATATTCTCTTGGGCTCTGGTCCAAAGCCCATAGATGTCAATGGAAAGACTCCCCCTGACTTCACTGAGTTTTGGGTCAGAGCTTTGCTGCACTGTGGCCCCAATTCAGCAAGCGCTTAAGCAAGTACTCAACTTCTAGTGTGCAGGTAGTTCCAGGTGAAGTCAATGGAAGTGCTCACATGCTTGAAGTTAAGCATGTGTTAAATGCCTTGCTGAAGCTGTACCTATAGCTGGGGATGAGTTGTGCTGAGAGGGAAAAAATCAAAGATTACTGGATCAGGCCCAGTAGTGCTAGGTGTTGTATATGGACACAAAAAAACATTATCCCTTCCCCAAACACCTTCCAATCTTGTTTGTATGTCCTTCAGGAGATGTAGTGGTAGATCCCAGATGATCAGATACCCTGAACCTATTTTTCAGGACAGATTTTGAATTGCATCTTGAATGAATTGAATTTCATCTTTGTGCATCACATGAAAACTGTTGTTATTAGAATCATCTGACATTTTCCATTGCTCATCATCACACCAAATGATCGGTGTGACAGGATAAAGGAGACACAGATTACTCTAAAAAGCTTGTAAAGTAAATTGCAGGATATTTCAGCCTTTCTTAAAGGTGACCTGAAAATGTTTCAGTAACTCACCCTGCCCAAACCTTACCAAGCTCAAAATTACATTCTGAATGCTCCAGATAATCAGATCAGAAGGGGATTTCAGCATGTAATTGATTTTAAAGACACCTTTCTATTTCTTTCTGTGCCATCCAAGCCCATTGTGTAGCAGCAGCTCACACTCTGAATGACTCCTCGACACATAGTCTGCCGGTGATGTTACATCAGAGGTACGTCACCTGCAGGATAACAGTGCCAGCCTACAGGGCCTTCAATCATCCAGACTTTCTGCAAAAATGCAGGATTTTGTAACCTTTTAAAATATATCTTATACAGTCCTGAGAACTTTACCAGGTAGCACAGTTTTTCAATTCCATCAACCACAGAATCCATACAGGCTCTGTACTGCATCGCACGGCAGGGCATTATTGGGCTTAAGAGCTGGCAATCTGCACTGGTGCTGTCCATCACAAGTCGTTTAAAAAGATCAGCTAGGTGGAGTGAATTTTAAGATGATACGCATTATTCCCATTGGATGGGGCATTCAAAAGTGCTTGACTCTGCTCCCATTGAAATCAATGGTTAATTTCAATAGGAGCAACACAATTTAGCCTCCATATTTTCATCTGAGTAAGGGGTAGTAGTGTAGTGCCTGATACTTTGGAGATACCAGAGAAGAGAAGGGCCCCAACGATCTGTCTGCTCAGTTGCCTGAGACAGAAGAAAGGGCCAGATTTACAAAGATATTTAGATGTCTAGGGCTGCAGATGGTGCCTGTAGGAATTTAGAAAATCACCTAAGTAGTTAAGGTGCCTAACTCTCATTGATTTCAATGGGAGTTAAGTGCCTATCTCATTTAGGTGCTTTTGAAAATCCCACCAGGCATCTATGTACAGTGTCTTCAGGCACATAAACACCTTTGTAAATCCTGCCACTAGGTGGAGGCAGCGTACACAAAAAAATCCTGTTTAGTTCCCATGGCCAGTAAGCAAAGAGTAACACCTGCCATCAGCCCCAGGAGAACAATGAGCCC